AAGCGAAGGAAATGAGAAGGGCTTGGAAGAATTGGGAATGGGTGAATCCTGATAAGCAACGTTCCATTGCGGAGCCCAGAGATGGAAGGTGATTCTCAGGCTGTGGAACTTCAGATTCATCGGTAGATTTGGATTGGGAAAGAAGAGGTGTTGAACGTGAATTCGCCATTAATCTGGAAGTGAGTTCGAAGAACTTTTGATCTGAACGGTCCGAAGAAGAAGGTTGCCATATATGTATGCATGCTCGGCAGCAAAACTGTCTTCTCTATTTGTTTTTTTTCCATAAAAAAGGTTAATGAATCATTGGGGGCCTGATACAGAGATTTTTCCTTGGGGCTATGGGACCGTATAGAGATTCTGAAAGGCACGGAACGAGCGAGAACATGAATGAGTGCGGACCAAAAACCTTATAAGACACGTTTTATAGTGTATGATTTAAAATTAAATTTGATGTAATATTTGGAAGATTAAATTTTTACTTTTATTTCTACATTATGCCAACCGAAAGAAGTACAAAATAGTTTCAACTTTCATAATTAGTGTGGATCTCGCAAGATGCATTGTTAAAACTTAGAAGTTTTATAATAATAAAAGAGATTTGCAAAAGAAATAGACCCTGATTATGATAAAATTAAATTTAATTATTTTTTAACAGAGCAAAAGACTGTATGGTTCAAAATGTCAGGTTAAAATAATGAGTATTTTATCTCAACTCATATTAGCCCAAGTTAAAAAGTTGTTTTTTTAATGCCCAAGTAAGTTATTGCAATTTAATTTTTAAAATTTTTAGTATGAAGTAAGCATAATTTAGAGTCGTTTTTTTCATACACATAATTTATAATACAAAGATTACAATATATAATTTTTTTTGCCAACTTAGTTGAACCATATATATACATAGGATTTATTTCTTCTTCTTCTTTTGGTTGATGGTGGACTAAAAATATAAGTTACAAGATAGTTATAATATTTAAGTATGTAAAGAATTTGTAGAGTTTCAAATACGTCCTTAACAAAAGTCAATGCTATAGTAATTATAATGAATCAATTACTTATAAAGTTCAATTGCATAGAAGGGCAAAATAAATGGCACAAAAAGAAGAAGGGAAAAATAATAAAACAAATAATAAATAGTTTATGTAATGGTTGGGCCCATGTATTCTCATTTAAACTTATTAAGTAATGGGGTCCAAGTATACTGAATAATTAATTTATCAATACCAATAAATAAATTAAAACTAGTTGGTTGGCAAAAAAAAAATTAAAATTAGTTGGATTCAATAAATATATTATCAATATTAATTTCTTTTTAAAAATATTTTTATTTAATGATTCACTAGTTACTTTTAATAATTAATTTAATTAATAATGAACAATTTGAATAACTACGGTTGATGAGAGGGTGTTTTATTTTTATAAATAAGATAACAAGAAATTTTACGGGTAATCTTTAAAGATTTGCAGAGTTTTGTTATAGATGTCATTTTCCTTGTTTGGTTCAACGGATGGGAGTTAATTAAAGGGAGGGGAGGGGAGGGGAGGTCATGATTTTGTTTAGTTGGAGGGGAAGGAAAGAGATGGGAGATTTCTTGTTTGGTTCATAAGAGGAGGGAAGGAGAAATAATTATAAATTAACAAATATGCCCTTATCTCTATATTTAGATTGATTTATTTTTTATTACAATATTTATATCAAAATTGTTATTTCTTAATTTATTATTATTTTAAAAAAAACTAATTACCTCACTTACACGTGATAAAAAAAAGATAAAACTAAAAAAAATTAGAAGATATGATAAAAAGTTAACATTCTATCTCATTAATTTTATAAATATATGTATTAATATATATGATATGTATATATTATATAATTATATAATTATAGGACGCAAGTTATGATATGTATATATTAATATATATACATGTTATCTAAGATTATAATACACACATGCTATGATATATAATTATAATACACACATGTTATGATATGCACATATTAATATATATGATATGTATATATTATATAATTATAATATTATATTATTATCAAATATTATTAGTGGCTAAAAAGAGAAAGAAGTGAAAAAAAGATTTTTAATAAGATTGACAAACTTAGAATATTAAAAAGTTAGTATGGGTAGTTTGATCAATATTAGACATAATATTTTTTTTTCCTTCCAAAAAATCCCAAATTTGGAGAGGAGCATGAGGAGGGGAGGGGAACACTAAAAGACAAATTTCTTCCCTCCCCTCTTTTTTATTTTTTCCAACCGAACACACTTATCACCTCCCCTCCCCTCCTCTCAACAACCCTCCAACTAAACAGAACATTAAACATTAAACATTTTCATTAAATTGATGAACAAAAAACCAACACTACTTTGTATGGAGCGAGGTAAATCACTTTGATTATGGGCATCTGAAAAATGATTTAATAAGCTGACCTGTATTTTATTAATTTTCTTAATAATACTTTTAAGATATGTATTGGCACGCAATTACTCGTTTGATCAAACTGAAGGCTAAACTGCAAACAAAAAGTAAAATTAAGTTTAATTACAGTGAAAATAAGGGGAAAAAAAAAAACAGGATTCATTGCTGAATCAGCATCAACAGGTATAGTTATCGGAAAGGAGTGCTTTTCTGAAGATAAAAGATGTTGTGTATGGTATATTATTATATGTAGTTGTCAATTTTAGATTTTCTTAACATTATAATTTAATATTGACACAAAATATTTGCAAATTGCGCAAATGGCTACAAACTATGTGTCTTAAAATTTAAATACTCTTAACTTTACTCGTATTAAGGAGAGTGGAAAACAGATCGCATTCAAGGGGCAATGAAGAAATAGTGAATTTATTAAATTAAATTCCCTCTTAGTAGTTTGAAATAAGAATAAAATTAAAACGATAATTAATAACAATCTAAATTTATAGGACGCTTGAAATATATTTTATTAAACAAAAAATTTAAATCTTACTAATTCTATCTTAAAATTTAATAACTTTTAAATTTTATCTTCGTTTGCTACATGCATATATACATGTGCTTTTCAAAACAAATAATAGTTTGCACAATTAGAAATAAAGTTTATTTATTTATTTATGTAATAAATTTAATGAGATAATTTGTACGAAAGATTAAAAAAAATACTCTCTTCATATTGTAAATTGTAAATCTGGCAGAGGGTTGTCTCTTGGTGGGCTTCACATTGGAAACTGGCAACGCCTTTTGTTTCATGCTGCACTTTCTCTCCCAAACGCTCCCAACTAATCTCAAATACTAGTTCCAATCTTATTTATAAGATATCATTTATAAACTATAAACGGGATTTTATAATTATGACATGAAATAGTATAAACAATTTATAATTTTACTGAAAAAATAATTTATAACTAATTTATATATACTAATAAAAAGAGTTATAAGTACTAAATTTGCCATAAATTTTTATTGATTTTAAATTACTGTTCAGTTCAACTAAACTAATCATATGAACATTGTCTCATCATTCTAAAGTAGAGGCTAAACGACAGCGTTTTGAGACTCAGTGGCCATGGCGCCTTCCAGAATGAAGTAAGCCACGCCAGTCACACAATCCATTGACGGTAACAGCTAAGATTCTTCTCGAAGCCCATTGCTTCTGCACTAAAATATTCAGCGCCAGCCAGTGGGTGGTCCCCTAGCTAATCCGTCACATTTAAATGAGATTTTGAGTCCGGTACTAATATATTTGGCTATTTGCATATGATTTAAATTGCATAATAATAATATAATAATAATAATATATCATATGAGCTTATATCATCTGTCTTTGTCAGACAGTTTACAGAGATGATTCAATGTCCTTGGAGAGTGGAGACAATGCTGCGGTCGTGTGAGGCATCGTGATGTACTGACAGCCTTGTCTTTATCCTCTACCACTACAGTGGGGTGAAAATTGGCCAGGAATCAGGATGAGTGAAGGACTTTCGGCTTGAACAGTACTTGGTCTAGTCTTCAAGATAGAAATAGGTTTATGACTTTTTTAAAGCCTATTTATCTAACGGTTCAAATTTGAGGTTTCTTTAGACGCGTGTTAAATCTGTGAGATCTGATCTGGTCTTTTTATTTGTCATAATTTTAATTTTAATTTTATATTTATATCTAGTTTTATTTTTCATCTTAACATATAATTATAACTTATTTTTAATAACATTAATTATAGTTAAGATTTAAAATAATACTTATGATATTACAATTTAAATAAAAATAAATATTAAAAAAATTATTATGTAGTATGTATATTTTTCTTTTTTGCTAATTCATGTATTTTTTTATTATGTATTTTGAAAATTTTAAAATTACAAATATTTTTAACAGGTTCAGATCAAATTAAAATTAGGCTGCAAATAAAGCCTATGACAAGCTACAAGTCAAACTTGAGTTGACTTGTTACTAGGCGGTTCTAGTCTGTTAAAAACAAAACCTGACTTAATCTAGCCTGTTTTTACTTTTACATTCTGATCTCCATCTATTTTACGTTCATTCTAGTAGTGTTCGAGTTTAACTTTTAAATACAGCGAGAATTGTAATGAAATCTAAAAAGGAGATTTGATTGTTCTAAAGTCTCTTGCTAATTGATAAACATAAACATAAAATGACAAGTTCTAATATAGAAAGTGATAACTAATTTACATTACTCAATTGGAAACCTTCTGGTAATTAAATTCTTTCCTTAAGACCTTATGATAATTTTTTCTTAAATATAAGTGACTTAAATAGTTATTAATGATATTTTTTATTTTTCGTTCCATTTAATTTTTGTTGAGAGAGAGAGAGAGAGAAGAGAGGTGAAGTACCACACCCATTTCTTCCAAGTGCTTATTGGATTGTCGTTTGTTACGTGATAGCATCGTTAAGCGTGAACAGAACGGCATTGGCTACCAAAGCCAATGGAATGGATCATCCTGATTTTGCCACAACGTTATTCGCTAAAAATAAAAAAGAAAAAATCATTAATAGGTATAGACAGTCAAATAATATTTGCAGGCCTTACGCCAGCCACAAATGACGGCTCTGTTTCGCTGCAAGTAACGCATAATGGCAAGATTCCTCTTACCATAACCAAACCTTCCAATGCGTTTTTGCAGTAACTTACGAAAATAATCTTTCTCCTCTTCCAATCTACCAACTCACCGTCTAAATTCATCACAGCGAATGGATCGGATACACCATATATATATATAAATATATATATTTAAGCAGAGAAGAGGCACCAACATCACAACTAGAGGCATACCTCGTCACAACTTAAAAAAGCGTTTTCTTTTTTCGCTGGATGCCAACTTCAATTCAAGTGTTTCTTATTAATATAATTAAGATTTAGGCCAACATGGCTGAGCTGATTCTCTGTTTGCCTTCCTCCTCCTCCTCCTCCATTGTATCACAAAGTGCTCTGCCTTTCGTCTCTGGCAAAAGCACTACGAACACACCACTCAGCCCTATGACGATTCCAAACACCCCGTAGCACCAGAACCTCTGCCTCCTCCCCGCAGCAACCAGCACCGGACTGACCGCCCCACCCAGCACCAATGCCTGCCTAGCCATCGCCAACGCCGAGTTCCGTACGCATGTCGGGAATAGCTCCGTCGTATATAACAAGTATATATTAAAGGCAGTGCAAGCACAGAAAAACGACACCGACTCAAATCCAATTTCCAGCTCCATCCATGTTTTCCCAAACTCCATCACCGACAAGAGACTGAAAATCCCACTCATGATGGTGAATACCCAAATAGCACTTCTTCTCTTGAACTTGCCAATCAATATGAAGGTTAACAGAGAAGATGGCAGCTCAGATAAAGCGTTGAACGCCACACTCAAATACAGATCAAACGACAGCGTTCCAAGACCTAGTGGCATCCCATAATAAACAACCCCAATACCAAAACCCATCAACATAACAGCGAAGATCCTTCTTGATGCCCACTTTCTCTGCATCAAAACCTTCAGTGCTGAGTATAAATTCATATTATCATTTGAACTTTCCTCAGCCTCAGACACTTTAGAAACGGCTAAATTTAATGAGCTTTGAGATATGGATGCGATGCATCGTAGCGTATTAACGGCTTCCTCTTTCATTCCTCGTACAAGAAGCCACCTAGGAGATTCCCTTACGAGGAATTTTACTAACACACAATAGAATATTGTTGGGATGGATGTGTATTTATAGAGGTTTCTCCACGAGGAGTTTCGGTTTAAGTATGCCATGGCCGGGAGTGAGAGAAAGCCGAAAGTGAAGCAGAAGAATCCCATGACACCCACCTGGCCGCGCCACCGCTTTCCGACGACCTCAGTGGCGAGGACGAGGGCAGAGGTACCTATGGTGGCTCTGCCAAAACCAGAGAGAAACTTGAGACAAGAATAGACCCAAAGGTTGGGAGAAAAGGAGGCGAAGAATGAAGAGAGAGACATCACAAGACAAGAATAGAACAGCATGTTCTTGCGGCCCAAGGACGTATCAGCGAGAGTAGACAGGGCAAGCCCGCCGATGAGGCAGCCCATGAAGAAGGAGGAGGCCGGGAGGCCCGTAAGTATGGGGTCCTCTGGATTTAAGCCCCACTCCAAGATGATGGAGGAGTACGACGAGCCGCCGTGGCGGGCTGGGGATGACGTTGGGGGTTGGGCGTCGGTGAAGACGGTGATGAAAGTTTGCTGCGCATCGAAGATCCAAGCGAAGGAGACGAGAAGGGCTTGGAGGAACTGGGAGAGATTGAATTCTGATAGGCAACGTTCGATTGTGGATCCTGGAGATGGAAGGCGGCTCCCTGCTGGCCGTGGAAGTTCAGATTCATCGGTGGATCTGGATTGAGAAAGAAGAGGTGTGGAATTTAAATCCGCCATTAATCTCGATGTGAGCTCCAGGAAATTTTGATCCGAGATTGAGAGGCTTAACGAGCATAACGTTGCTTATATGTGCATTCCAGTATGCAAACATGACATTTTTGTAAAATAAAGAAATAAAGACTAAAAGATGCATTTAGTTTTTAGTCTTTTAGCTATAATTCTTTAATGATGATTTTTTTATAATAATTATGATTATTTTAAAAATTAAAATTAATATGTTAAAATTTAATAATATTTTATTAATATTTAAGGGTTTGATATCACCAGTTTTTATTTAATGATTTATGAATAAGAAAACTAAAATTTCATTTTTTTAAATTCAAAAATTTAAAATGAAATTTTGTGTAAATTTAAAAGACGGCAAATATACTTTACCCATAAATAAAAAGCTTAACGAATGACTGGAAGCCTCTAGAGAACTTTCCTTTGGGCTGAGGGCCGCACTGAGATCTAGAAAGGCTTGGAACGATCGAGAACGATCGAGAAACACGAATGAGGATAAATTGATTAAAAAAATCGTGATTTAAAATTTAGGAGAAATTATAAAAAAAACTTTAGAATTGTAAAAATAGAAAACCACATTGAAGGTACTTATACTTTCTCTTCATTTTTAATTTGGTATCTATGTGTTTTTTTTCTTTTAATTAAACATTTAATTTTATCTTTTTAGCAACATTAGCTCTTATAACTTTGTTCTATTGATATTTTTAGTCTCTACATAAGGATTAATGATGTTAATAGAGAAAAAAATAAAGATTTAGTTAAGAAAAAAACACATAGGTACCAAATTGAAAATTGAAAAAAAGTATAGGTGCCTCCAATATAATTTTCCCTTGTAAAAATGCAGATAAGGACCATTGACAACTTCACCTTGATTTTGACAACTTCATGACATATTATTATTGTCAAAACTCAAAGTAAAGTTGTCAAATATCCCTATTTGTGTTTTTATAATTCTAAGATTTTTTTTGTAATTTTCCCTAAAATTTAAGTCTGATGTGATATGAAAAGGATGATTAATGTATAAAGGGATTGGCGAAAGAAATAGCATTATATATGGTTATGGGTCTATGCACAGCAAAAGGCACTGGACAATTAAAGGTCTCACTCAATTTATTATTTGGGGAAAAAAAAAAACTCTTACAGTAGCTCCCAGTTAGCTAGTTCCAAGTTTAATTGTGATCCACGTGGGCGTCCTGCAAATAATTCTAGAAAAATCATAAGCCACTTCTTCTCTCTCTGAATTTTTTTTAAAAACAAAATGCAAGACCATTGCTCGCCTCGCTGTTTATTTAAAAAAAAACTTATTTTTCTTTATATTATATTTTTTTGCTAAATGTGCAGTTTTACTCTTAATTTTGATTCTCAAGTGCATCTAATATTTTTAGTAGCACAGTTTTACCCATAATTTTTTTATAAAAAATATCATATGTAAAACTGCACAGAAAATGAGTAAAATTGCACCAATAAAAATGTTGGGCACAACTCAAAAATAATATTATGGATAAAATTACATTTATACTCTATATTTTCCCGATCAATAATAACTTTGGTTTAACAAGCATATGATCACATTTATAAAACACTTTCAAACAAAGACTAACGGTAAACTTTAATTAAAATGCATTAAATGACCACTTTTAAGAAAAAGTTTTTAAGTCAATAATTTATATGAAAAATTCATATCTACATTAATCTTATAAGAATTTATTTTATTTTATTAAAACAAGGATGCAATAGCCTAATTATGAGTAACTTTACATAAAAAATGCGAAAAAAAGAAAGGACATTCTTTTGGCATTTAAAATATTAATAGGCACGATGTTTCACCAAAAATTAAAAAATATTAAATCCCAGTAGTTATGTCGTAAGATTTAATGACTTATCAATATTTTATCAGTATTTAATTAATCACTTAAAAAAAGTAACAACCCACACATACAGACCAATAAAAATGGGATAAGATTATATATTTACATACAAATTTAATAAGATACTTATATATGTAAAATATTTTTAATTAAAAGAATTTCCTCTCTCACGTTTCATGTATGTCATGGTCACCTCAATTAGAATTAATACGCATGGGATCAGGGATAGTAGTATAATTGACTCAATTTTAGCTGTTTTTGAAATTATATTATATTGAAACCAAAATATATTCGCAAATTGCACAAACGGCTACAAATCTGACTATGTCACTAATAAACAATATCCTTCATATAAAACTCCCAATTGGGTATATTTGTTTTTCTCACGCATAGGTTCAGTATTTTTTTATCGGGGGATAATTATTTTCTGGATCCTTATAATTTTATCTGATTTTTAATTAATTTTATATAAAAAAATTTTATCAGATCTTTTTACTTTCACGAATTTTTAATTAGGTCTTTTTACTTTTCTTTATTAGGTCCTTATAATTTCACTTATTTTTTAATTAGGTCTTTTGTAGTTTTAAAAGAATTATTTATTAACTTTATTCTTTAAAATTAATTTTATTTTTAAATTAATAATTATATAATTAGACAAAATAATTAATATAATCATTTAGTAATTAATAATTAATCAGAAAAATAAATTATATTTAATCATAAATTGTTTATAATTATATTCTAATTTAGAAAATTTTATTATTATAATTATAAAAATTGGAATTGAAAAATAAATAATATATATGTTTAACTAAAGATTTAAAAGAATATTAACATAAGATTATAATAATAATTTATTATTTATAGATTAAAGAATAAAAACTACAAGGATCTAATTAAAAATAAGGTAAAACAATAAGGACCTAATAAAAAAAATTATAAGACTTGATAAAAAACATGTGAAATTATAAGGACCTAATAAAAAAAATTATAAGGACATGATTAAAAGTGGTTGAAACTATAAAAACTTACATATTAATTATTTTTTTTATTATTTCAAACAATTCTATTTTGAACTGTTGTGGGTCAAAACAAGCAAATCTTGATTCATTGTGTTATGTGGGACTAATCTTTTCTATTAGATTTAACCCTATCGGTGAAAGAAACAAATAACTATGATTAGGAGAGTAAATTGTGGTTCATGCTATAATTAGTAATTATCCTGGATGTTACGCGGAGAAGCCCAAATTGAACTAATAATGTATGATAGAGGAATCTAAGGGTCCCATACGCAATCGTATAAACAAAACAGCCTTTTTCGTGAACACAGGAATATTTTTGCACGCAGGATCACCAACCAAACCGTTGCCCCATATATACAGACTTTAAGTTTTAAAAATTAAAAAAAAATTTGCATGTGGTTTTAAATTTAGGAAAATTTTATATAATTTAACATATTTTTTAAACGTTATAATTATTACTCTTGTTAAGTTGTAAACTTGTAATGGTGAAGCCACTAATCAAATTTTTAAATGTTTATTATCATAATTTTTAGTCTGAATTTTCCTTCTTCATATATCAAATTATAACAGGAAACAGTTCACTCCCTGGGAAAACACGGTCCAAGAAGTCACGCTATTATACTCCCTCCAATTCTTTTCTATAAGATTCAAATAATCAAATTTTATGGTTTTAAAAATTATTAACATTTGTTAAAAGCATTAAATATGTACAAAAATATTTTTCCCTGATATGCCCCTATTTATAAGAGGATAAGTGATAAAGTAATTAATGTTCAAACAACCTCAAAATGTATCTCATAGAAACAATTAAACCGATTTAAAAATTTGAATCTTGCAAGAAGAATATAAAATAGTATAACTCGAAAGTTATAGTTAAAAGATAATTATGTTATTCATGATTTAAGAATAGTGTAATTTTTCTACATATTTGATAATTTATATTGATTGATTGGTATTGATTTGATTGTCCAAAGTAGTGGGAGGCATTGTTGATAAATATGACTAAGTGATGATTTATCATAATAATTAAAAAACAATTGGCTGAGGTTGGCTTCAGTTTCACAAGGGAAACTGGCGACGCGCTGGTTTTAGGACTTTCTCTACCAAACAATGATTTGGCGTTTTAATACTTCAATTCAGTGGATGTTAAAATTAAGGGAGAATTGCAATTAGGTCCCACCCTAAGGGAATTAAATACAAAAAAGTCTCTTAAAATCATAAATTATTCTGAAGCCCCAAGAGACCATTTTATTTGTTTAATTACCAAATTACCCTTCTTCTTTTTTTTGGTAAGTTTGCATTGACAACTGATAGAGCAGTGGTTGACAACTTAGAGTGTAAAGATTGACAACTATCGCGGCTAGTTTGACAACACATTTTCTCAGCATATCACATCCTAAGTTGTCAAACTAGCCACGATAGTTGTCAATCCTTGCACCCTAGGTTGTCAACTACTGCTCTTTCAGTTGTCAATGCAAACTTACAAAAAAGAAGAAGGGTAATTTGGTAATTAAACAAACAAAATTTATTACAAAAAAGTCCCTTGAGATTTTAGAATAATTTCATGATTTCAAGAAATCTTTTTGTATTTAATTCCCTTATATGGGACCTAATTGTAATTTTCTCTAAAATTAATGGGCTTACCGGTTATGCAAATTGATTATTTTTTGAGTAAAGTATGCGCTTTTTATATAAACTCGATTAAAAGCGAAGTGATGAAGTGATCTATTCTTCATTTTTCAAAACTATTAAATACATTTTTAAATGATATAATAAATATATGAGAAAATTAATCTTTTACTCTTAACTTATTTATAATTTAGTAGTTTCTCAGCCATACCTTGATACGATTGAGTAATTTTATGAAGTTTAACAAATATGTGAGATGAGTTTTGTTTTTACTTGTGTGAAAGTTTTTTTTTTTACGTGTTTTTCTGAGTTTTCAAACACAACCTCTATTGCCAACTTTGATTTAAAATTTTAAATGTAGGTTCTTTTTTCTCCTACTAATCTCTTTTCACCTATAATTTAATAACACTTTTATAAAAAAATTAATGTAATAGACAACTCAACAAGGAAAAATTTTAGAAAAAAAATCCTGAAATTATAATTTCCCAATTCA